AACATTGACTTGACTCTCTTTAAACCATTATGTAGCTAATTAGATTATGTTTGTGATCAAACTCAGGAAATGTGGGCTTTCCAAAATAGTTGAAACAACACAGAATCAAAATCTGTAGCTTTCAAAAAATCCCAGAGGGAACAAAATTGAAGAATCAATCCTGGCTAGTTTGATTTGTTTGAATGTTGAATATTTCTCACTGAAAAACGCCAATACTGGTTGATATGAAGATATTTAGGATTATATTACCTGCTGAAAGTGAAAAATCTCCTCAAACCTGAGCCGACCATTATTATGTTGTTTTAAATAATAATTTGTGTTGGATAGTTCTCAAAACTGTGATTAATTAGAAATTATATAAAAAAAAATAATGTTAAAAGCTCAGATTTAGTGACGTTACATCTTAAAGCTGTGAAGTTACTGGCGTTTCCAGATGTATAAAATCTAAAGGAACACATTCGTGTGAAAGAATAATGAGTTGAAACCAGTTTTCTGAAACATTTGTCAGTTTCTGATGTTTCTGAGCTGAGGTGCAGAGAGAATTACCGTCAGAAGCAGCTTGGTTCTTCTAAGATTTGCAGGAATCAGTCGTGACGGATGTGATCCATCTTGCGAGCCTTAAGACTTTCTGCTTGAGGCCTAAACACAAAAGGTCCGACTTATCACCTTCCTAGTGAGTGAGTCACTGCTGGGCTTCAGGGGCTCAAATGAACAACAATACTCCATCACACACAGCCCACCGCTGCTCGAGCAGAAATAGGTTTCAGGGAAAATGGCATTTATGCATGCACCGTTCTTCATTTTAAATTAGGATTTAATGACATGAATATCTGCGCTCTGTTTAAATGTTTAATTCTGGAGTAATTGCACTGCATATATTCAATTTGTCAGATTAGAGGAACATTTTGGAAATAATTTTTAAGGAAGTGTTAAACATGCTTTTTATTGAGTGAATATTTCTGTATTTAAATGTTTTTAAATTTTTATTGGACTGTAATTTTCTAATCTTAAAAACAGTGTCATTTGGTTTTAGTCAGAAAATTATAACAGAAATGAAGGCTAGAAAACATCAATGTGTAAATAATCTACATATGTTTCCTGTATTGAGCACAGTTACTGAAATAAATTAACTTTTCAACACTATTCTAATATAGAATAACTGTTTCTTTATGTATCCATGTACAGAAATGTCTGAGATTTCTTTAAATTAAATCTGGGTACAAAGGCAACAACACAACAACAACAACAACAAAAACAGTTACATCTATTTAAAAAAATACTACAAAAGCTATTCAACACAATAAAGCTAAGTACAGAAAAAAATCAATGTTTTGTTTCGTTAAAATGAACCTAAACTGCTCTGGAAGTTTGATATTTTTCTGTTAAAATTAACTACTTCTTTCTCCACATTCTTACTCAAAATGAGGAATTTGTGAGAAATACATTTTAATGTGTTGGACTTCTTTAGAAACTTAAATAACTTTTCCTCCCAGATGAAATTTGATCAACTAACTGTTCTGTAGTAACTGAAGACAGTTTGTGTCCCAACACCACTTGATTTCATTTACCAAAGAAACGGCAGTAAATAAAACGGCTGTTGCTTTGATTTAGTAATTTGGTCTGAAATTCAGGAGTCCAGAGTTTCAGACTCTGGAGACGGGAAGGAACGATATAACTGTTGTAATTTATTGACTTGCAGCTGTGCATAAAGTGTGATCCTGGCACAGACACTGGCAGCTAAATTTATTAGTTGGCAGCAATAAATTATGATTCAAACGTAACTGCGGAACAATATATTCCTCTATATAGATTTTGTTGGTACGTTTAAATCCATAAATGAAGTTAAGAGACCAGTTTCTCTGATTTTACTCTTTATAGGCATGTTTGAGTAAAATAAACATTGTTCTTTTATTCTATGAACTACTGACTGAACTACTGCAGAAAATGAGAAACGATCTAAATAACGAAAAAGCTGCAGCGCTTCCAGACCTCAAATAATGTGAAGAAAACAATTTCATATTAAATTAAAAACAACAATGCTAATGTTTTAACTCAGGAAGAGTTCAGAAATCAACATTTGGTGGAATAACCAGGAGGTTTTCAGTGCAGCGGGATCTTAGTTTTTAATTTTTTCCTTCAAAAATACAAATTTTAAGAACTAAAATCTTCATTTTGTGAGAGAGTTGCAGTGCGCTTTGGCAGCAGCGCAGTTCGCTTATTCCCTGTGCCTTTTCTACGCCAATGGATCTATTGGTGAAGAATAAACTGGATTGATTTCTATTGATTTTGGATCAACTTTTGATTCTAGAACTGCCAGTGAAATGGACCAGTTCCTAAACTGCCTTAAGATATATATATATATATATATATATACACGTACGTAGTAATTTGGCTGCATTTTAATGAACTGTATTGAATTAGCATGAAGAAAATCACAAAGGAAAGCGGATTTATCAGTCACTTTGTTCAGCAGATGGCAGGATGAGCTGTTCTTTTAAACTCTTCTAAGGAATTGCTGCGGGCTTCTGCATCCGTCTGTCGGGTCGCCTTAGCAGATCTGCAGGGTGGAGACGGAGACTCCAGCCCTGTGAGGAATGTCAAGGACGGAGGGATGGAATGACATTGGAAAGACGGAGCAGAGAAAATGACGTGCGGAGAGAGCGGGTAGGAAGGAAGTGTGAGGTTTTCAGAGTAAATTAGACTGTGTTTATATGTAAGTGGGTCAGTTGGAAAGAGCAGCATCCACATGGGACTTGTATCTGTTTTGCTTCTTTTGTTCTTGGCTCTGTTTGAGGACAAAAGCACTGAAATGTTGACTGATTTCCAGGAAACCTTCACATTCAGAGGGCATTGTAAACTCTGTAGTCCCTGGTCATTGCCTCTCTGTCATAGACCACTCTGGTAGCAAAAAGCAGTTTAGCTAAAAATACTCAAAATTGACGAGCAGAGCTTTGGCTCTGAAACATGTATTGTTTGCTACCATCTTTGTTTAACAGATCTTAATGGGTTTGCATGTGTGTGAGCTTCAGTTCTCATGTCTGAAGCTCATGTTTTATGTGGGTAAATATACTATGCTACGCTCATTTACAGTGAAGATGATTTGTTTTCCCTGACAGACAGGTGGAGGACATTTAAACAGGCAGCTATCACCTCATTAGCTGCTGTAATTGATTGATGATAGTGCTCAGCATAGAAAAGCCAAATTCAGATTCTAGGAAGGTAACGCGTCAGCTTAGGATTTAATTACATGGTAGAAAAGAGAATCAAATTAAAGGGCAGCCATCTTGATGTGCAGTTAAAAACAAAGGTATTTTACATCATTTTAGAGCTGAATAAATGTTGAACACCACTGGACAGAAATAAACTGATATGTAGTTTAGCTTACAGACAATGTAAGGTGCTACTTTGCTAATTTTAGATCTGTGTCGCTAACGTTCCTAACCCTAACCCATTTATTTAGGTTTATAAATGAGCATCTAAGAGCTTAAATATAAAATTAGTTTCACTAACGTGTAGGGATTTGATACTTAGTGAATCTCTAAGCCTTGTCAAAATGCTAACTGCTATCCATTAGCAGTTAGCATGACTTTGTCTGGCTAAATAAGCTTCAGATACCGTCCCAACACTTTAAAATAGATTTTCTTCAAGAATTTGGTACATTAAAAACAAAAGGTAAAAGAAAAGTAATAAGTTTGACAGAATTGCAGTATGTCTGTAGGCTACATGGTAACTGGCTAACTACTATTGGCATCGTTTTATTGGTTCCCTGTTTGTATCTAAAACAGTTAAGCAGATTACACTGCTTTCAGATTATTTAATCTCAATAATTAAAAACATTGTTCTGTGGATATTTTGGGGGGTTAATGCCATCAACATGATGCTAAAGTTAGCATATGGCTCACAGTTTTTTGTTTATTGTTGTTTTCTTGCTGCTAAATGTGAATTAGGCACTCAGTGTATTTTCTCTGAGGATTTCAGTGCTGGTTTTGGTATTAGGACTGTCTTGTTTGAAAACTGCAAGTCTAAGAGAAGTCAAACTATATTCTGCATGTTCTTAAAATTCATACAAAATTATTTAAATAAAGAACCTGAGTGAAGCATGTTGATCCCCTCCTGTATGCCACATTTTCAGCTAACACCTTTATGGGAGAGGTTTTCTCTTGCTCCTCTTGATCTGCAGTCCTTTAGATATATTTCCCTTTCCCAGCACACCTGAGTCAAATTAATGCAATAATCCTTCAGTATTCTATATAACGTGACCATTTATTTAAGTCAGGAAACACTTTGACAGTGAATCCTGAGGACCGTGATTGAAAGCTGCTGCTCTATGGGATTAACCTCGATGCTAAAATACAGTTTTCAGTCTTTTTATGCCTCAACGATTCATGGGTCAGAGTTAAGTGGCCTAACTAACAGCTTTTCATCAACACCACTCTTCTCTGCACGAAGAGTAAAAACCGGCTTCCCACCGGGGAAGATTGAGCATTTGTAGATGCATGAAGTGTGTGTTTACACTGGAACCAACTCCTTTTCACCTGGAACGTATATAGTAGCACATCTGGTCACTTTCTGTTCTCCACTTCATCACACGAGTCACTGAAACCAATCTGAATGTAGTTATAATTGGTAAGTCATGTGCCTCAAGCTTATGGTTGATTAAAATATGGAGAAAAAAACGTAGCAATGTTGGTTTATTTTTAAGATGAAACAGTTGGAATCATTATTATCCTCCATTACTTTGTCATTATCAGCTTGATACTCTGTAAAACTAAATATGCACAGACAGTTCAAATAAATCTGAGTGTTTTATGCTGATTTTACATGTAAGGATTTATAAAATCACTCCCACTAGTCTTTATGTAGGTTGTTAGATATTTCACTTGGTGTATTATTAGAACATTAAATTATTTAACAGTGCCCGTTTGTAAACGGATCGTTCTTTCTGTTTCCTGCCTTGTTCACCTCGGTCCTTCCCTCGCTTCGTTCCGTTTCCCTCTCAGGCGACCCGCCTGTGGGTTTCCGCGACGTCCTGCTGCGCGACGGCCCCGAGGGATTCGCCAAGGCGGTGCGGGCTCACCAGGGTCTGCTGCTAATGGACACCACGTTCAGGGACGCCCACCAGTCGCTCCTGGCGACGAGGGTTCGCACTCACGACCTCAAGAAGATCTCCCCGTTCGTCAGCCACAACTTCAGCAACCTGTTCAGCCTGGAGAACTGGGGAGGTGAGTCGCTTCTGCTGCATGCACATGTGGACGTCAAACTTACTGCTGCAACATTTAAACTCCTTTGTGAAAACTTCTTGTTACATCAGGTTATTGCAAATGTAAGGATCAAAATGCGTTTTATTTTTCAAACACATCTTGTGTTTTCCAGCCACAAAGAATCATTTCATAGCACAATTAACTACGTTACCTTCGGTTGTTCTAAAAACGCTGCATATATCAAATTTGATTTAAAAGTGTTTTGAGTTTGTAGTTTATCTTCTTTAAATTGGGAGTTTCTCTGTTTAAAAACTCCTGCGCTTTCTGAAGCCTTGCCTTCAGGAAGTCATCACAACTTCTCTCCTGTATTAACATCGTTTTTACCTGCATAATGAGCTCAGCAGATGCACAGTTCAATCAGGTGTTTGCTAATTGCTGCTGGCTAGTCTGAAGGAGTGGAGTGGGGGAGTCACTAAGTTTCTGTGAGGCCGAAGCTTAGAAACATGGAGCTGCATTTCAAAAGTGGCTCTTGGTCCACCCAGGCATTTTGAACAGCTGAGTGGTTGCCATGGAGATTTCTCAAAGAAAAAAAACAGATTTTTCTGAAAAGCAATTTAAACAGAGCGATATACAGTACTAAGCAGATCAAACATTACATTAATAAAGAAATGTAACAAAATCAATAAAAACAGTTTTCTGTATGAGCTCACAAACTACTGCAGGTTTGAACAAAATGCTCCACCATTAGTCCTCCAACGGGATAAAGTAACATCTTGGTCAACAGCATCTAATGATGCCATTAGGCCTAAAAGTATCCAGAATCAATCGCTAACATCGTTAAAAACCTTCAAGCGTTGCTGATTCAGCACCAAGTAGACGTTTAAAGGCAGACTGGAAAACTTCCAAAATCCCATTTCTGCTCATAGTCGTTTTTTGTTTTTTTTACCAAATACAAATATTTTTGTATTGCAAAAATATGTTTTTGAAAGGAAACAATCATTTCTAGTGTCTTTGGGAGAAGAAGCTGCTTTAAATACAACAGAAAATGAATATTTTGCATCAAAATCACATCCCTAAACACGAGTTGCTCAAATATAAAAGAACTAATGATCACAATTGTTGTTAAAGTATGATTAAAATAAACTTTAATTATCATTATTATAGTCATTGCATTGACCATGCATGGGACTAAGCATGGTCCCAAAGCGACTTTTACGTCGCTTTGGGACATAAAAGCGACGTAAAAGGAACTGCAGCTCTTTGTTTTTGTTATAGTTTGGAGCCAATTTCTAAACTGGAGCTTTTATTGCTTTACTCGAGTCAGACTGCATCAAGCTACATACTTACAGCTCGAAAACATCGAAGTTGTTCCTTTTTATGCACTTAATGATCATAAAAATACAATTTTCAGTTTGTGAAATGGCGATCCCCTTTTGGAACCAAAAATCGACCAGAGTTTTGGCCTCTGGTCGATTAATCTGAGCTGCAATCTACCGAGTCTGTTCAGATTATTTTTCTAGTAAAGTAAAATTGAAACAGGAAGTAAGAAAAACATTTCAGAAAATTAGGAAAACAATGGATCTGTTCCAGGTTTCACTGATTTAAGTGCAGCTGTTATTTTACACAAAACTGTGAAATTCTCGTCACTGAAAAGCTTCTTTAGTTTTATTCTTTCAACCCAACAAACAGAAAAGTCTTTTCAGTGAGTTTCCACAAAGAAAATGATTATACCTTTCCCCTGCCTTTAGTCATCGCAGAAATTCACTTGTCAATGAAACTTCACAAGGCATGAACAATCCAATCATGTCTGAGCAGAAGATGCAATTACTCTGAAATTGGACAGAAAGAAAACGTGTGCATCAGGTTTGAGCGCCTTTCTTTATAACATGAATTTGGGTTGCTTTGAGCAGGTTTGGGGGAAAAAAAGGGCCGTTTCTCCTGTTTGAACCCACGAACACTTGGGACAAGTTTCCAGATTGAAACATTTAATGTGCAGTAAAAAACTCAGAGGAATTTCTCTTTTATTGTTTCTAAGGCTTTAAGGGAAATGAAAGCGAAGCAACAACCTTTGTTGGTTTGGCTTTTTGTTTCAGTGCTTGACTCAATGTTGGAAAAAACAAAAGATCTTAAAATGCTTGGGATTTAATTTTGCTTTTGGCAGCAGATCATAAAGCACCACTTAGAGCACATGTGTCAAACTCGAGGCCCGTGGGCCAAATCTGGCCCGCCGTAGCTTTTTATGTGGCCCTCTATATTCTAGACTGTGTGCTTAAATATTATTTTATTGGTCAAATCAATGCAGTTTTTATCTGTTTACTGCCAAATTACATCAACCAGTCTCTCCAGTTTCTTGAGAATTATGGTGGAAATTCTCTAAAAATCCACAAATCCACACACTGCTTTTTGTGCATAATTGGGAGTTTATTGCAGATTTTTCTCAAAAACTTTCTTACACTACTAGACAGCTGCGTCAGTCTTAATTATAGTCCATGATCTGTACAGAGAGTAATAAAAAAATAGCATTTACCAACATAAATAAGCGCACATATCTCCAGATTAGTACAACAAACATTTTGATTTTTATTGCAAAAAATCACAAAATAATTGTAAACCTCTGGACTGAAAAGAAGTTCAATATTATTGAACTTTAAGAATTGTTTAATATATTAACAGTTTATGAGCAGGTTTTATCAATACATTCTGGCTCAACCGGCCCTTTATTTAAATGAAAATGAGCTTGACGTCCCTGACTATGTCAGAAGGCAGTTTCACTGCAGTAACTAGGATATTAAAGACATAATCATATTTTTGGAGTTAAATTTGACTTAAATTCATCAATTCTCTTACAAGACTCACCTAAAAAGGATGATTTTAATTCACTTTAGCTTTGGAAAAGCAGTGAGAATAAAACAAATGTTTGAGTGAGTGCTGAGACTGTTAACATCAGTGGAAAATAGCTGAATATGCATCAGGAGAGCCTCACTGTTGTGCATCTCATTACATTTAGTAAACCAGTCCTGAACGGTGGGATTGCTTTGATTAAGGTGGATGAACACCTTTTACAGTCTTCCTCATCTTGCGTCAGAGACCGCATTAAGATGTAGATTCCCATTATTTTGAATCAAGGTGCAACACAACCTGACTGGGCGGATCCTGGATGTGCTTTGTCTCTGGGTTTAAGCTCAGCAGGACGGAGCGATCGCTGAGCCTTTTAAAGGCAGCGCTAAATCTCCCTCTGACCGCAGCACAGTCAGCGGGTTTACTTCACTGATAACAGCCGTTTAGCAGGTTTTTTTACCCCCTCTAATGTTTTTATCTCAGCCTTCGTTGCGATTCAAACAAGAAGTCACTGGAGATGAGTAAACCTTGTAGATTTTTTTAATGTTTGGATTGGATTTTTTTTCCACCAGCCTCACTTTAGGCTTTTACTGCTGCTGAAAAACTGAATTTCAATACTAGATGGATATTACTTTGACAACTTTCACTTAGAGTGGTGCAGCTCTTCTTTTCCCATCGTACTGAAAATGTTGAGTGATGTGAATTACTCCTGAAGCAGTCTCTTCATTGTCTTCTGCTTATCAGACATTCAGCAGCAGTAGAAACGCTTAGAGGAGCGGAAACCCAGAACATCATCTTCTCGGCAACATATAACGTCAATCTATCATTTTAGGGCATATAACGTGTAAAAGGTTGTTTTCACACCTCAGTCTGGTAGATTTGGTTTGATTGGGGACCAAAATTGCAACATTTGTTAGATTTTCATCTGGTGCGGTTTATATTCACACTGCAGTGAGTTAAATAAACCAAACCCACTGAGCAACCTGTTCCCCTCCTCGCCTGTGGTGGCGCTGCATCAAGAACCACTGAAGAAGACATGAGCACAACTCCCGTCTTCACCAAATAAACAAAAATTGAATGGCATCAGATTTCAGTGGTTGTAGGATTTCTGTTTTGTTGGTGTCAAAAGACTACAAGCCATTTCTCCCGCTAGTTCTTGATTCAAACGTTTGTTTTAATTGTGTTTACCCAGAATGCCCTGTGCTATAGTCCACTTCTGGCTTTTAGAGTCCATTTGGCATTCAAATATGCATTCAAA